TCATCTTGGTGGGCTTCACAGCAGATCGCCAGTTGCAGCTGATTCTGTTTGGAGTATTTCTAATGCTCTATTTGGTGACCTTGTCTGGGAACATGACTCTGGTTATCTTAATCCGGATAGATTCCCGTCTTCACACACCTATGTACTTTTTTATTGGCAGTCTGTCTTTCCTTGATTTCTGGTACCCCTCTGTGTATACTCCCCTAATCCTGGTTAATTGTATGTCAGAAGACAAGCGGATTTCTTTGGCAGGTTGTGGGGCCCAGTTGTTCTTTTCCTGCGTTGTAGCCTACTCAGAATGCTATCTCCTAGCAGCCATGTCTTATGACCGCCATGTGGCTATTTGTAATCCCTTGCACTATTCTGGCACCATGTCCAGATCTCTCTGTATTGGGCTTGTCGCTGGCTCCTACATTGGTGGGTTTTTGAATGCCATCGCTCATACAGCGAACACGTTCCGTCTGAGTTTCTGTGGCAATAATATCATTGACCACTTTTTCTGTGATGCACCACCTCTGGTGAAGATGTCCTGTACTGACACGCGGGTCTATGAACAAGTGCTCCTGGGTGTGGTGGGCTTCACAGTCCTCTCCAGCATTCTGGCCATCTTGATTTCCTACTTCAACATCCTCCTGGCTATCCTGCGGATCCGCTCAGCCTCTGGAAGGCGCAAGGCCTTCTCCACGTGTGCTTCCCATGTGATCTCGGTCATGTTCTTCTACGGGTCCTTGCTCTTCATGTACTCCAGGCCCAGTTCCTCCTACTCCTTGGAGAAAGACAAAGTGGCTGCCCTCTTCTACACTGTGGTGAACCCCTTGCTCAACCCTCTCATCTATAGCGTGAGGAACAAAGATGTCAAAGAGGCTTTCAGGAAAGCAATGCAGACCTTGAGGGCACAAAGGTGAAGGTCATCCTTTATCTTTCCAATGAAGGCTCTGATTTTTCTTTCCAAATTACTGCCTTCGACTTGGAAATACAGCAATGTCAATGAACTTCCACTCTTAGGCTTAGTAACATGTTAATGAAATGATTCTTTCAGTTGTTACTATGAGGTTATTGAGAAGGAAACCATTTTAAATTTATATTGGTTGCGTGACACTTTTCCTGCAGGATTTCAGTTTACCGCTGTGAATTACTGGGTTTTTTAAAATAAAATATGCCATTCCAGTGATGTCTTAGCAAGAGGGAAACTATTGGGGGTGGGTTTTGTGTGTGATTTGCCTTTGAAGCTTGGCAAGCAAATTCAGTTGGTGAAGGGATGTTGTGGAATGGGCTGAACTGTGAAAGGTACTCAAATGTTTACAAATATTTAATTTTAGTACAGTATTTGTTATTATCATATCATTTCCTAAAGTTGTCATTGCATATGAAGAAAATATGTGTGTGAACCTGTGTGTTATATATGAATAAAATAGTACTCTGAGTGTTTAGAATTTGTTTAGATTATTAAAAAGAACAAAACAAAAATTAAATCTATGGAAGGACATGATCCTTTTCAAATCTATACCCTCTATAAAGGAGTATTTCTCCCTTACAATATGGATATTCCATAGCATTGTCCCTTTTGCCATGCTACTGAAAGTACTCCTACA